CAGCTGCTTGACGAAACGGAGATGGGCACCCGTCTAGCAAGCAGCTGGTCTTTTTTCTCCCCGTCTGAAATAAAAAGGTAGTGTGGTGGTGCTGCTCGCCGTCACGAAATTTTAAAAATCGCGCCTTTTGGGAGCTATCTAGAACATCGAGGGGTTCATAATTGCGAACCGAAGTTTGCCGATGTTGCCATCGCAAGGTATATCTTCTATCTTTGAATAATTCAGCGAGTTCTTTCTTCTTGTCGAAAGTGGATAATTCAAACATCTTCTTTGTTCTATCGCATCTTTAATCAAGTGAAGCATGCCAATCATTACAGATCGTGCATATCTTTATGCCGCATTGCTCATAAACTGCGCAAGCATCGAGACGAAAGTTCAATTTAAACATCTTATTTTGGTAGTTTTGTCTTTGGGGTTGGTAAAATCAAAATGGCATTTCGTTCTCATTCCTAGTTGAATATGCTACTTACGATTAGTTAGAGCACAGCAAGAAATGTTCGTACGAACGAAATGCAGTTTTGATTTTACCAACCTGAAATACAACATTACCCTTATTTTGTTTAAACGTCAAGATGAAACTTCATATCATTCTCATTCAGTTGTCGTACAGCTAAATTTATGTTGATTTTTTTAAATTAAATTATTCATTAAATGATCAGTGAGGTTAAGCTTCTTCTTGAACCTCGAACACTGAATTGTCAAGCCTAGCTTTCGCCAGCATTTTCAATGGGTTTCTCGCATAGATCTGTTATAGTTTCGTGTATCTGTTTTCCGTGTGTCGATCCTGTTCAGTTCTTTCAGGAGTGGAATTTGACCGGACGAAAATTACAAAAGGTCGTGCCATATATTAGAGTTATTGTGAATGAATGAATGAGCAATGTCGAGGCAGTCTGATCAGTCGAAACATTTTTGTGGGGCGGCTGGCAGTGGTCAAGGTCAAAGTATCACTGTGAAATTCTGGACACAATCAAATATGGAAAATTTAACGGAAGAAATGGATTGTGAGGCTCTCAAACAACTGGTCAGGGAAATGCGTTATACGTACTGTCAAAATGTGATTCATGCTACACAAAGTATTATTGAGTTTGTTGATTTTTTGTTGAATACAATTACTTTCTAACGTTTTTCAGCTTGTCAGAAGTTCCTCATTTTTCTGCACAATTTTTTGAACTAGCCCTCTGTGCTCTGTGTTTCCTTTATAAGCTGCTTGTAAAATTGTTTCACAATTTTATGGCTAAAATCTTGTCATTATTATGTACTGATGATGGTGATGTATATTGGACTGAGGACATTTAGCAACACCGATAATAAGAATGATTATAGTGCCATTGGCTACATATCATAACTACTTAAAATTTGTTTGAAAAGTTAAAGTTCACGGCTTTTCATAGATGGTGATATCGTTGCAACAGAAGCGTATCAAAGACAAGTCGAGAAATTGGATGATATATTCGCTAAAATTCATAAGGGAGTACAACCCGGTGAAACAATCGAATTACCACCGATGCCCAAATCATATGGTCCAACGCCACGTCCAGCGCCTCATTATCCTCACTATCCACCGGGATTTCCACAACAACGAATGCCATTTTTTTCTTCTTATTCTTCCGTTCTGCCTTCTGCTGCCGACTATCAGCAGCCATTTGCAATGCAACCAGAGGGATATGTTCCTCCTCCTTCGTATACGGATGCTGTGTCGTTAGGAGGCTTCAGGTCGTTATTGACGGCAACAGAATCAAGCCAAAACGCTACCTTCTCATCATCCGAACAACAACGACAACAGCAGAGTCCAACGTCTAGAGGCATTGCTGAAACTGTTCGTACACGAGAAACATCTACGCCAGCACCCGTAGCCATCGGCGTTCAGCGTGAACCAAAAGTAAATTCATCTGCAAGGGAGTCGATCGCAAACAATTATGAGAATAAAGCAGTGAAAACTGAACAAGACACTATCGTGAGGCAAACGAATCCGGTAAAAACTGAGCGTGAATTGACCACAAGTGACGGCAAAGAAATGGATCGTACGAAAACTGGCAAGCTGCAAAGTGCCACGGAGGAGACCGCAAAACCGCCGCAATCTCCATCGAAAATAACTCCAGAAAAGCAAAAAAGAGA